GCTCAAGCGAGTCTCCTGCCTCCGCCTCCCAAGTAGCTGGGACCACAGGCGCCCGCCACAACGCCCGGCTATTTTTTGGTTGCAGCTATCATTGTTGTTTGGCGGGTCTGGGCTGGGGATTCGAACCTGCCACCTTAGGTGTACGTGGTTGGCGCCTTAGCCGGTTGAGCTATAGGCGCCGAGCCCATGTACATTTTTTATGTGTAATTACTGTATTTGATATTCTTTGTCTTGTTTATTTGTAAAATTGGTAGTTATGTGTTGATTTTCCTAATTTTGTTTCATATAATTTTTTGTGGGGGACAGCCAGGCATGGGTTTGAACCCACCAACTCCGGCTTATGGGGCTGGCGCCCTACTCCTTTGAGCCACAGGTGCTGCCCTTGTTTCATATAATTTATAATATGCATACATTTGCAAATAAATTGCATATTCTTTAGCCTTTAACAGCATGAGTATGAGTTCTAGATGACCTACCACTCTTAGCAGTATCTTTCTCTTAAGATATGCTTTGAAGTAGTTTTACTGAAGAATTTGATTAAGTAATTTTTGAGCTTCCAGTATTCTTATGATTGATTGTTTTGGAGGTGGAAAGACATTGATATAATTTTTGCGTGGGGTGGAAGTTTCTCCCAATTTTCTAAGTTTGATAACTCTGATCATAATTGTTTCCATAGGTAATGGGAAACCCAGGAACTCTCAAAAGAGGTCTTTTAGTCTCAGCTTTGTCTTATTTGGGTTTTGAAACTTACCAAGTCATTTCTCAGGCTGCTGTGGTTCATGCTACGGCCAAAGGTAAGCCTAACATCTGGAATACTTAAGAGTTTTTGTTTTTTATTTTGTTAATAAGTTACACTTATTTTTTAACAGATAATGCAACTAAAATTGGTATAGTTTAGATTATTTTTTATTTTTCTCCTCTTTTCAGTCTGACATTATATGTAAAAAAATTATTTCTAGAAACTCATTGAGTTTATTTCTAGAGCTCCCTGAGTGATACTTTATTATACTTTTGTAGGACCCTAACCTAAGAAGTAAGACTATTTTTTTACATTTTTAAAGGGTTGAAGAGTTGTTGAGGGGGAGGGACTATGCCCTAGAGACCATGTATGGTCCACAAAGCCTAAAATATTTATTCTTTATCTTTATGGAGAAATTTTGTCAACTCTTACTTTACATGGCAAAATGATTCTTTTGTCCTTTGCTGGCCAAGGTATATTGTATTCTTCTTCATATAGTTATGAAAAAGCACTAGCACTTTGAGATAGAAGTACTTATTTACAAATTAAATTCATCTTTGTGCCAAATCAAATGATTGAAAATTGAAAAAATGTAAAAATTCCATCATATTTCTTCTTTGACATAAGATAAAATAAGTAAACATATACTAAGACTTGACATTTTTTAAAATATTAAATTTAGGCCAGGCATGGTGGCTCATGCCTGTAATCCTAGCACTCTTGGAGGTTGAGGTGGGTGGATTGCTTGCGCTCACAAGTTCAAGACTAGCCTGAGCAAGAGCAAGACCCCATCTCTAAAAATTAACCATGCATTGTGGTGACCATCTGTAGTCCTAACTACTCGGGAGGCTAAGGCAAGTGAATCCTTGAGCCCAGGAGTTTGACAAGATTGCTGTGAGCTATGATGCCAGGGTACTTTATCCATGGTGACAAAGTGAAACTCTGTCTCAAAAAATAAATAAATAAAAATAGATATTCTTCTATATGAGAATAAAGATATTCTTAGGAAAAAAAAATAAAATTGAATTAAAACAAAAGTGAGCCAAATTTTCAGTATGTTAGAGAAATAACATTTTAGTTAATGGGTTAAGCCTTTTGTTTTTCATAATTCTTTCTTTTTAATTATAAAGGAAAAAGTGATTGGGGAAAGAAGCAGAGATTTGATTTTGAATAGATACTCTCATTAAAGTTCTGGTAAAAAGGCAGGGTGGAGGAGGTGGAGGGGCTTGGTGACTCAGGCCTGTAACCCTACATTTGGGTGGCAGGGGCAGGTGGATTGCTTGAGCTTAGGAGTTCAAGACCAGCCGGAGGAAGAACAAGACAAAGGCTCTACTAAAAATAGAAAAACTAGCCAAGCATTGTGGCAGGCTCCTATAGTCCCAGCTACTTTGGAGGCTAAGGCAAGAGGATCCCTTGAGCCTAGGAGTTAGAGATTGCTATGATCTGTGATGCCATGGCACTCTATCAGGGTGACAAGGGAAGACTCTGTCTCAAACAAACAAACAAACAAAAGTTCTGGTAGAAGAAGAATTTGAGAATATAACCTAAAAGTTTTTAGTTATGTTTTGTTTTCATTTATCTATGATTATCTTTTCTTTTTAAAAAAGCAGATAATTGAGAGCTATAATGCTTTACTTCCCTTTTTATTTTTAATGTATCTTGAAGAGGACTTGGTTTTGTCACTGGCTCAATGATATCTTTTGGCAAATACTTAATAATTTTTATCTTTTTAAAACTCCTTAGACTTTCCCCTATAACTTTCTCACAGCAACTTTGTAAAGTGGTTAGGACAGGTCTTATCACATTATAATATTAATTTTTGAAAAATGGTCACAGAGTTAAATTTCATCAAAGTCAGTATTAGAGTAAAGATCACAAGTCTTATCTCTTCATTTTTGTTTATATTTATTGTACCTAGTTTCAGTGTGTTGTAGCACTGTTGCAGAAGTGATTGCAAAGATTTAGTGCTTCCCTAAGTAACAAAATATGACATGTTGAAAGGCAAAACCAGAATTAAACTTTTAACCTTAATGATCTTAGTCCCTTTTTTAAGAGGTGACTTAATAACATAAAAATATTACTGTTCATTAAATTAAAATGAACATTTTAAGGTGCTAGTTCAGTGTGAGGCATGCCCAAACTGGATGAGGTCTTGCGTAGCTGTAGTAACAGAGAGTAAAGGAGTGTGAAATAGTCAGCAGTTGTTTAAGAACTGAATCCGTTGGTATGGCATGTGCTATCTGCATCTTATTAAAAGGTTTGAGTTAGGAACTTGCCTTTGTGCTGATGAAGGCAAACTGAAGGTGAGAGACAGTGGATCTTGAAATGGCAGCCCTTTCAGGAAAATGCCAAATATCATATCCAATGAAGATAACCTTGTCACCGTAAACTCAGCCTGGGGATTATCATAGCAGGTGTACATCCAGGAAAAGGAGAAACGCAGTGATATAATTCAGTGAAACGTGTTCATCTTTAAATTAATAATTTTCCAGTATTATCCAGTACAATTTCTACCGTAAACTAATAGTTCCCAATCCAGTAGATTTCTTAAATTATCTTAGACATTGAATTCATTCTCCCAAAACCATGTTACTAGAAGTGGCTATAATCTAGACATTGTCTGATTTTGTTTTCTCATTGGGCAAAGCTTTTTCACTCTGGAAATTATTATGGGTAGATCCTTGGAGACCATGAAGATTCATGTGTTCTTTGTGGAATAGAGTTTGTATTGATTATATTACTCTGGAGAACTCATATATAGGGACCAAAAAAGACACCGAACCATGGAAAAAGGTACACAAAAAGGTAATTTCTGGCTGGGTATGGTGTCTCACACCTGTAATTGTAGCACTTTTGGAGGCTGAGGCAGGAGGATCACTTGAGGCCAGGAGTTTGAGATCAGCCCCTGTAACACAGTGAGAGTCCCATCTCTACCAAAGGGGAAAAAAATAGCCAGACATGGTATTGTATGTCTGTAGCTCCTTGGGAGGCTGAGAGGAGGATTGCTGGAACCACAGAGTTGCAGGTTGCATTAAGCTGTGATTGTACCACTATACCCCTGTCTGGGCGACACAGTGAGTCCCTATTTGGAAAAAAAAAAAAAAAGGTGATTACCTATAGCCAGGTGTCCTCAAACTGAGGCCCACCGAGGACATTTATCCGGCCCACTGGGTGTTGTTACCTTTGCTGCCTGTCCTGCTTAATAGCCAACTCCTCCCGGGGCCCGCAGGCCGGCCCTCCAATGGTCTGAGTGACAGTGAACTGGCCCACTGTTTAAAAAGTTTGAGGACCCCTGCCTATAGCTTACCCTAAGGGTACACTAATTGGGCGTTTGGTCTGTCTGTGGCTGATTTAATGGATAGCATTTTGAAGAATCTTAGAGTATATTCTGTTTCCACCATAAGTCATAGCCTTTATGGAATAATTGAAGTATTCCTTAGTATTGTATCCTGAGAGATGATATAACAGACCTTATAAAGACAAAGCTAACCCCTGAAGACTATTTCCGTTTCAAAAAGAATGCGGAAAAACTTTAGGAAATTCATAGGAGCTCAAGCTTTAAAGTGGTTTAGTTTAAGGCTGCCATTCTTCAGGTGGTTATTAAAGAAGAGATAATAGTTATAGGATTATGTTGGGCAAACTTTTGAATAATCCTGAATTATAAAAGTTGGAAAAAGGAAGAGATAGAATGACTACCCTGTTTATTTGGTCTTCTAGCTTTTTAATTTAGCATCCATATGCCGAATAATACTTTAGTTTTTATAATTCTTTTGGGGGGAAGGGGTTAAGTGTTTTTTTTTTTTTTTAATGGAGAAGCTAACAAATTGTCCAGTTACATTTCTCCCCCAAAGCCACAGAGTGGGTAGTAACTAAGTCTCTATTCCAGGCAATATATTCAACACTAAGAAATAATTTTTTTTTTTTTAAAAAGCCCTCAGATCCAATTCAGGGAGCCCATGTACATACAGGCTAATCAATATCATTGGTACTCTTTGACTCTGCATGTCTGGAAGGCATCTCAATAACCCTATTCAGAACGTTTGCTTCAAATAGCCTTTCTCTGGTTTCCAGCTTATGAATTAAGATAGTATTTCAATTCTATTTCAGAAAACTTTTTACAAGTTTTATGTACAGTGCCAACTTTTAAAAGATTACTAAAGTTAACTAGACGAGAAACTAGGCAGAAATCACTTTACAAAAAGAGGGAAAGCCCAAAATGCCACTTTCTACAGAGAACCCACGGTTAAGTTTTATTCAGAGCAAAGAAAAAAAAAAACTTTAATCATACTAGAAGAAAGTCAGCCATAGGTTTGGAATCTGTACTCCAACTACACATGCAGTGAGGACAATATTCTGCTAATACAATGGATTTGCTGTTGCATTTGTCTAATATTAACAATTATAAACAGAGCAGTGCGACTAGTAGTTGGGATAATCCTTACAGTGTTACAGTGTCACGTACTACATTTCGCTTCTCTTCACACCACTGGTTCTCTTTGCGTACCTGGGCTTCCTTCAGTAAAGTCATTTTTGGTATTGAAAGTCTTGAGAATCTCTTCGGGAGTTTTCCCCTTGATCATATTGGCAACAGTCTTGCATGTAACATCAAGCAAACTTTTGATGACTAAGTAGTTTGCAGCCAGAATAAGTTCAAAAAGTGTTCCTTGGTCAACTTTCAGGAATTCTTGGTCCCAAAGAGGGATTTCATCTGTTTGCTTTTCTTTGTTCTCATGCTCAGGAGGAGGAGGGTCATCCTTGTTGCAGGTGCACCACTGAATGACCTTTTTTAATATTGCTGCATTAACATTTGGTAGAGGAACTGGGTCATCATCTCTTTCATCATCCATTCCAAAATCTTCCAACATCATCTTGACCGTCCCAGACTGTTTGGCAATTTCCACATCAACTTCAAATATCTCTCCTTCGGAACAGTGCAACTTAATGGAAGGCCTGGTGTTAGGTCTCAAAGGTCAGCCAGAGGCTGAAGAGAGTTGAGGGGCGTCTACACAAGACGAGAGGCAGAGGACAAGACCACTCAGTTTTTACAATTCTTAA